CCCCGCCTAAAACGAAGTGCTGCTATTGACACAAAGCAAATCATACCAGCTCGTGTACTTCTCGTTATCTTGGTAAATGTATTTCATGGAGTTGCGCATCGACACCTGCATCGCGTCGCCGTAGTAGAAGAAGAGCGGCATCACAATCATCCACAGCACGCCAGAGTAAACGCGGAACGCCCCCGCCGGCAGCTTCCAGCCGTACTTCCCGGCGAGGATGAACAGCATCGCGCTCAGGATGCGTGAGAGGATGTACATGCTCATCTGCACCGTGACGGGGTTCGACTCGCCCCAGAAAAGCACGCCGACAAGAAACCCGGCGAGCGCGCTGTGCCACACCTGCGGGCCGCCCTGGAGCCACGACAGCAGCGAGCGCACCAGCGAGATGACGCAGCCAGTGGCGCCGAGTGAGAGGCTGTGGCGCTTCGTCGCCTCGTATATCCTGCGCGCCATCACGCGGTACGGCGCGTTGCTCCACACGAGGTTCAGCACCAGAGCGTGCGGGGCGCGAATGCGGGCGCCGTACACGAAGCCGTTGCGGAATCCCTTCACAGCGTTCAGCAGTGCCTTGTAGTTGCCCGAGCGGATCATCTCGTTAATGAGGCACTCCGTCTGCTTCGCTACACCGGCGTGCGGTGCGGCGAGCCCAACCGGCGGCGACACCATTGTCTACACCTCCTACTCAAGCTCGCTCTAAACGGCAGCTTCCACGCCGCGCGGCAAGGGAAGAGACACAAGAGAATAGGCCGGGGGAGAAGCGGGGGCCAAGAAAGGAGCGTGAAGACGGAGAATGAAAGAAGACAGTCCAGTCCATCAGCAAAGCCCGTGGCACCGCGAGAAAAAAGTCGCCAGCATGAGATACACAACAGAGAGCTTCGCAGCCACAATCACAAAACGCCGACGTACGGCCCCTCCACAATGAAACGATAAGGCCGTACCAAGAAGGGAAAAGGAAAGAAAACAGGCACAGGCAAAGAGGCAAAAACGCAGCAACCACTCACTCCCTCAATGACACACACACACACACAGACACAGACACATAGGCATCAAAACAATAATAATAACAAGCCCCGGTGTTCATTCCCCCCCCCCCAGCGGCTCACATCACAGACGTCAGCGCCTTGACCCAGGCGGAGTGATCAGCCAGGCCCTTCAGGAGCCGTGGTGAAGGCAGACGGCGTTCCAGAAGCAGCGTCACACCACGCGACTGTTGCTGCTGCCCTTCTCCCTCTTTACCCCCTTCTTGCAAGAGCGGTGTTACCATCTGCTTCCGTACACGGTATCCACGCGCTGCCAGACCCGCACATGCGTCCACACACGCCCGCGATGCCTCCACTGGCACCACAACGTCCATGTAGACATACCGTGGCTCCGTGGCATCAGGATGGGGAGGGCCCGGAGGTGGAACCTGCAGCTCCAGCAGGGCCAAACATGCAACAACTTCACGGTACAGCCGCGGCTGCGGCGCCATCGGCTGCCACTCACCGCACCGAAGAAAATCAAGAACAGCGCCGAAAGCCTCTCCGCTCACCCCATATTCAAGCGGCATCAGGTGCTCATCGGTGGTCACATCGTAAAGGGGGAAGTCACTACCAAATAAGGCTGCAAGTTTGCTGGGGCTGTGCTGGTGCAACGTCTCTAATGTGGTGCTGAAGTGCAACCCCCCGCACCGAATGTTTACACATTGGAACAACTCATTGGCGCCGTTGCTGTGCTCCATCGCCGCGCCGACAGAAACTACAAAAGTGCACAGAGACGGGAAAGGGGGAAAATGTCACAGCCTCACATTCCACCGGAGCACGCATGAACCTGAGCCAATCTTTCAAACAGAGAGGGAGACACCAACCAGCAAAGGGAAAGAAATTTTAGTCATGTATGCGACTCCGTCGCTTCAGCACTCTCGACGCTCTGTGTTGTAAATTCAATTTATCGTGGTCTTGTTAGGCGCAGGCTCTCTTAGACCCACTCAGAGCGGCGGAGGCAGATCTCGCGGGGCCGCCAACTCAGGCGCCGCGTTGCTCGCACGCCACACAACATCGGCGCAGCAGCGCGGACAGCGCGGGATAATCTTTGACGGACGCACATCTCCAAGAACACTCGTCTTGTACCCACAGTGCTCACACTCAATAAAGCGTCTTGTCGTCTCTCTTGCCTCCATAGTGTGCTGCAGCATCCTGCAGCGCTCGTTGCGGCGCAGATACCAACGCTCACACTGGCGGCAGTACAGCCCCTTCACCGTCTGCTCCGACACCTCTGACAGGGCGTCGAGAGCCTTTTCCTGCGCGATGCGGCGATCCATGCGCTGCTCAAACTGTCGGCGTGCGTCAATGCCGCGGAGGTCGTCATTCTTGCTTTGCATCGCCCCCGCCACCATGCCAAGCAGCGACGCGGGCTTCGGTGCACCTCTGTGTTGCTGGGTTGGACTCTCGTGTTGCGCCTGCTGCTCTTGTTGCTGCCTTTCCGCCAACGCAGCTGCACTCTTTGCCAAAACGCCCTCACTCCGAAGGCGGCGCTCAACAGTGGACACAATGCTACTCGTTGTGCCGTCGGCCCGCGTCGTGACGACGCGCTGCTGGTAGTCCTGCTGGCGGAGTAAAACCTCGTCAAAGCCACTGCTTCGCATTGGCACAAACGCCGTGGATGCGTGGCCACCGGCGAGGGGGGCGTACTGCGCACGCACCTCCTCAGACTCCTGCATTGCCGTCTGATTCTTTGGCACAGCTGCCGCTGTCCTCATTGTTGTTTCCTCGCGAAGTCGCTTTACTCCAGCCTCACCCACCCCCAACGCAAGTTGCAGCAGTCGTTGGGTTTCCTTTGCATCCTCCTGATCAACAGCTGCAGCAAGCACCGCCCGGCCCCGCCCCGTCACACCAAGTGCTTGGGGCGAGCGCAGCACACTCGCCACATTGCGACACATACCAGTGATAGGAAGTGCGCCGCCCATCACAACACCCGCGTAGGCACCACCGGCAGATCTCACGTCGCGGTCGGCTGGAGACGACGTGGGCAGTCCACATGATCCCTTCACCGTCAGGAACCCCGCCTGCTGCCGCGACAACATCTGTCGGGTGCTCTTCGACGTCGCAGAAGCAGACGTGAGTGCTGCAAGGTTCATGCGACTCACACCAGCCACCACAGCACCGGCGTTGGGGCGAGCGGCACCAAATGATGCTTCACTCTTGGTAGCGGTCATAGAGCCGCCCCCACGTGCCTCTCGACGCAAATTCATCACGTGGTGCGAACAGTACTTTGATACCGCGATGTTGACCACGCCGTTGCAGCGCTCCCCCGACCTTTGCTGTACTCCCTGGCAAGTGCCGAGGTCCGCCGCAAAACCCAGCACGCGCACCTGATCACTTGAAACCACCTTTAGCATCTCCGAGCTGCCGCTGCTGCTGCTGTTGTTGTTGTTGTTATTGTTGCCTTTGCTGACGCTTTCCGTGGCCGCAGTGGAGGATGAAGTGACAGAGGGCCCGCTGCGGCTCTCCATCCGCTGCACTCCCGAGAGCGCCAGCACCACGGCGTTGGCGAGTTTCGTGTAGTGCACGTCGAATGCTGACCCGCCAAACAGAACGGGCAACTCGTCCGACGACGTCGGGAAAGGACCCCGCATATTCCACAGTGAGATAACACCGTACATGTGTTTCCCATTCTTCTGCTTCGGATCAGTCTTTCGGATCACTACGCCGACGACTGTCACCGATGGCGCCGAACCACCAGCAGCAAGTCTGCGGCGGGCTTCTACGAAAGTGCAGAAGGGATGTTGCGCTAGAACAACAGGCAGCTGCTCACAACTTTTTGTGGGGCGGCTGACGTTGATGCCGCTGTTGGCCTCTTGCATAACTGCCGCCCTGGCCCGCTTCTGCTGGTGTTGTCCTCCGCCACCGCCACTTTCATCGTCGTTGGCATCAGCTTGCGACGAGGCGCACACCACACTCATAATAGACGCGGACGTGGCCGGAGCGGCTTTACTCAGCGCTTCCGCGATGGAAACACTGCTGGTGGTGGTGGTGGTGCTGCCGCCCCAGAGAGGACGCGATACCGTCGCCGCCGCCACTACGTCGCGCTCACCGCCGCTGTTGCCGCCAGACGCCAACGGTGCGGGTGTTGAGAGTGGCGCAATTGCCTGCACAGACGATGCTGGCGCGTTAAAAACCGCGAAGGGATCATCGTCGTCGTCGCCGTCGTCGTTGGTGCTGTTGTTGTTGTTGTCGTTGTCCGCGTTACGCTGTGCCATTGCGCGATTTGTTTTCTTTTTTTTTTATTCTTTTTGCTCCTTCGTTCCCACGGCCTCGCCCTCTCAGCACTCCCAGCAAGAAGAGGCGAAGCGCAAACAAAACAAGAAACAAAAAAAAAACACTTGCAGGACACACCCACAGGGCGGAGGAGGAGGAGGAGGAGGAGAAGGAGGGGGGGACAATGCCGCTGTGCTCAGCAAGGCTTCTCCGTCACACCGTCTCCCACAACGGAGAAGCGCAACGGAGGTGAGTCTCCATCCCCTTTTTTTTTGTTCGTTTTTGTTCTTCTTCGTTCACATACATCAAAGTTCCAAATGCAGGTGGAGCAGCCCCCACAAGCACGATGTACATCGCATACGCTCCACACGACACACAAAACACAAGTAAGCATCATACATTCAAAAAGGGAGGAGGGGGCACCTGTTCAGTCCCTCACCACTGGGCCATCAAGGGCCAAATCTGCGTAAATACAACTACATACCGAGATGAATAGATAAAAAGGAAAGAGTCTGAAGCCAACAACAAACAAACATAAAAAAAAAAGTGGTTCCACAAGGACGTATCACTGGAAATAAATAGGTCCCTCGACGCAGCGTCAACGCTTCTTCTTCAGCGACGGCAGCCTGTCCCCCTTCGTTCGCCTTGCGCTGCTGCTCCTCATTTGGGGACTGGAGCCCGCACGAAGAATCGATGCAGATCCCTCGCGGCTCGCCGTTGTTGTCACTGTTGCAGCACCATCAGCCGCCATGATGCCACTCCTGGTGCGGCTCTTTCCACGTTTCATGCGTGAAGGCGGCATTGGCACGAGCGCCTGCCGCGCGGACGGAATCTCCGGCAGCGTGATGCGCTTCGACAGCGCTATGGGCTCGACGATAGCGCCAAGCGGCGGCTGGTCCGCCTCGTGGTGCGACACGCTGCTGTCCTGCTCGCCCTTTGTCACCAGGCGTATCATGGGATTGTTGTAGCTCATGCCGTCGGGGTTCTCCGCGACGATCTGTATGGTGTACTCCGTCGCTGGCTCCAGGTCAAAAAGCGTGTAGGTCGTGCTGCGCGCCGTCGTGACGAGGATCGGCGCGTGATCGCGGACGCCCAGGTAAACGCGGTACGTCATGTTGCGCGCCTGCCGCAGTGTGCCGCCCGCCTCGCCGCGCGACGGGGTCCACTCGACAGTCACGCTGTCGCGCGCGAGGGTGGTGACGAGGATGCTGGCCACCGGCTCCGGTGGCATGCCGCTCGAGAGACCGACAGGCTCACAGAACTCGCTGTATGTGTGGCCTTCGCCCAGTCGCGCGCCCTTCACGCGGCACCGCATCTTGCCCGGCGGCGCGGTAAAGCGGACACGGCATGTTGTCTCTTCAACGACGTCCGCCACGCGCCAGTCAATAGCACCTTTTGACTTGCCACGCGTTTCGGCTGGCACAAACGACTGCTCCACCACATAGCGGTAGAGGTAGCGGTTGTCCGGGGCCTCCCACTGCAACAAGCAGAACTGCGCATTCAGTCGGCGCAGCGTCACGGCACGCGGTGGAACAGGTGCTGTCTCAACAGCGAACTCCGTCCACGCGCCCCAGAGCTCATTTTCGTCCATCGCCCGTACCTGGATGGTATAGGACGTGTTGCTGTCAAGCCCCTCGAGGGTGCAAACAGTAGGCACAGGATCATCTTTATTTACCTCAACTTGGCGTTCCATCAAAAACGGCTCTCGTCGAGATGAAAGTAAAGACATCGCGCTCTGTGTGGTTCCGCCCTCGCGCCAGTCAGGCACTGAACCCTCTTTCTGTGCCACGCTGCTGACGGGTTCCTCGGCGCTCACGGCCGCGTCCACAGGGGAAGAAGCGGCAACAACGCGAGCCACAGCCGTATAAGCATCAGGAACCGTAATCACGGCATCGGCACAAGGAACTGTAGTCTCAACATCGGCTTCTGGAACTGCAGTCTCAGCATCGGCATCACAAACGGCAGTCTCAGCATCGGCATCAGGAACTGTGGCTTCAGCATTGGCATCCACATCAGTATCAGCAATGGCATCCGTAGGAGCAGCGTCTGCAGCCGCAGCCGCAGCAGCAGCAGCAGCGGCAGCGGCAGCAACCGAGTCTTGTTCACGCTCCTTCTCTAGAGCAGCGAGGACCTCCTCAGTTTTTCGAACAACTAACTGATAGCTCTTCACGTCATTGACGGGTGCCACACGTTCAATGGGGCTACTCTCGCCGGGGGTGGCACTGGGGAGGATCACGCTCGCTTCCAGGGACGGCACATCGACTGTACGATTCAAAGAGAGCTCTACGCGGTCAGAGAAGATGGTGCTGGCATTGACGAGGATGGGGTGCAGCGTCTTGAAGCTAACAGAAGGTGTCCACAGGCCCCAACGGTTATCCTCATAGGCCGGCTGCAATGCCATCAGATAACTTGTCTTTGGAGCGAGCCCCTCCACAACGTACATTGGCAGCTTAAATTCATCAGTTGTTACACTGCAGTCGCCTGGCTGAATCACACGCTCAATTGTTTCCGTACCAGCCTTGAGCAGCAATTGGTACGCCACAGGATCTGCCTTTGTGCCGGCAGAACGGCCATCATCTGTACGGTCACCCTCTTCGCGCTCCCATTGCACACGGGCGTAATTTTCACCAACTGCTGTCACGCGCAATTGCAACAGTCGCTGTGTGCGGAAGGCGCTCTCTTTGCTCCAGAGGCCCCACCGCGACTCTGTGTTACACGCGCGCAGAATCACAACGTACGGGGCGTCCGCTGTGAGGGATCCGAGACAGTACCGTATCACCTCCTTCGGGAACTGCTTGTCAACCACCGCAACCGACGGTGTATGTTGTCCGCTGAAGACACAGAGGTGGTAGGCAATCGCTTCAGGGTTGCCGAGTTGTACCGCGGCTGCGGCGCCTTCGCCTGTTATCTCGTCATACTCTTCAGCTGTCTGCTCGTCGCGGTGCCACTCAACCGTGACGAACTGCTCCGCCGCGGGGCCAACAATGAGGCGCATCGGCTTCAGCGTCACGAAGAGCACCCGCTCGCTCCAGAGACTCCACGTATCACGCCGTGCATCGGATGATCGTACAGCGACGGAGTATACTGTGTTCACCTCCAGCTGCTTAACGCGGTAGGTGTTGCGTGCCGCCTTGAACTTCTTGCTCACATTAAAGCTGTGCTCGAGGCCCACTACCTCGAGGTGGAACTTGTCAATTGTGTCGTCGCTGTCACAGAGTGCCTCCGTACCATCCGGCAGCACGAGGCTTCGGTGCGGCCGCTGCCACGAGAAGAGCGCGTAGTCCTCACCGATGCTGCTGATATCGATCACCAACTTCGGAAGCGTCATTATGTAGATTGTGCGGCTCCACCGACCCCACACGTTGTCCACACAGCAGCGTACGTCGACGCGGAAGAGCGTGTCCGGCCGCATGCCCTGAGCGGTGTACGTCGTCACATCGGCGGGGAGCGGCTGATCAATGTGGAACGACGCAGCACTCATCTCCACCGCAGTGCCATCCGGCGTCATCTCATCCACGCGCAAGTGGTAGCCCCCCGCCGGCTTCACTGCAATAGCGTTGCGTACCGGCAGTGGTGGCACGTGCGGGTCGCGTTCCCAGTGCACCACAAAGAAGTCCTCCGCGCCCTCCTCCATCGTGCACACCATATCGCGCAGCGTCACGTCGTACAGACCGTCGCTCCACATACCTGGTGCCGCGTTACTGCGCTGAAGTAGCTCAATCACCTGCTCGTCATCGGTATTCGGCACCTCTTTTGGGGCATCTTCGACGAAGGGCTCCAACGGCTTGAACCAACGTCGTACACTCACCCGGTAGCGGTGGTGCGAGAGCAGCTCCTTCACCGTGCATGTGCGCAACTTCGCTGGTACAAAGATGGTGCGCTGCAGCCGCGGTGGCAGATCCTCTGCGCCCTCTTCACCGTATGAAACATCTGTGAAGTCATGCACGGCAAGTTCGTAGCTGACAGCCTCCTCTACACGACCAAGGCTCACCTCACTCACATCGTACGTGTTCGGCAGCCTCTGCCACGCGGCAGTCAAGTAGTCCTCGCCGAGACCGTGCAGCTCCACCATGAGCGTGTTAAGGGTACCGCTCGCCACGTGCGTGCTGCTAACGCCCCACTCGCCGCTTTCGTAGCACGCGCGAACCGCAAAGGTGTATCGCATGTCCGGCCGAAGTGACGGTACGGTGAAAGTGGTGAGATCGCCAGGGGCCTCAATGGTGTAGCCCTCACCTTCATCACCACACACAACACTCACAGCATACATCGAGATGCGTGTCCTTGCACTATTATACATAGCGGACCTCGTCTCAGGGCGATCCAGGAGCGGGTACTTTTTGCGGTTCGTGGCACGTGTCTTGCGATGAGGTTGCAGCAGCTGCTGTGCGGATAGCTCAGTCGCTGGTGCAAAAACATGTGTGTCGCCTTCAATACTGATGTTGCTGTTTTCGGCGATCCCATCCACTACGTCACCAGCATCATCCACGGCAACTTCTGTATCACTCTTGGCGATAACAACTGGAGAGCCAGCCTGCGACTCCACCACCTGCATCTCATCCGGCTCCTCACGTGTCCAACGGAGACGGATGTAGTCCTCACCAATCGCCGCTACCTCCGCACAGATGAGTTTCATGGTGTAGATACAACGGTCCTCCGACCAAAGCCCCCACTCGCTGAGGTGGTTTGCCGCACGCACGCACACCACATACGGCGTGTTCGGCGTAAGCGTGGTCAAGTGGAATGCACAGACATCGCCAGAGAAACTCTTCTCCAGCAGCAAGGCACGCGATGGGTCACCTCCATGGGCGATACGCACAACATAGCTCTCGGAATGCCGGCTGCCCACGCAGATCGTCGGGTCATAGTCACCGCCAGTTTCTTCACACGACGGTTGCTGCTCGTCGCGGCCCCATTCAAGCATGATGGACTGCTCCGTGATTTGGGCCGGGCGTACGGTAACTTGATTAAGCGTTACGAAGCGCAGCGTTTCGGACCATAGGCTCTGTGCGTTCTCATCGTTTATGGAATGCACCCTCGCGCTATAAACGCTGTCCAGGGAAAGCCCCTTGAGGTGATACGTCGTGTTGCTTTGACCATGCATACGCTCCAGCACGTGGAATTCACCGCCGCCGTTCACCTCCAGCACGTAGGCAACGGTGTTGTAGTGACCGGTAAAGACATGAGTCATACGGAGTCGCGGGTGCTGCCGGGGCGGCAGTCGCTCCCACTTGAGGTCAACATACTGCTCATCAATATGCTCCGTGGCAAGCTTAATCTTCGACATGGTGAGGAAGTACTGCTCGCTGCTCCAAATACCGAGTTGCTCTCCCGTAGTCTCACACAGCACCTGGACACTGTAGAAACGGTCTGGTCTAAGATGCTCAAGCCGGAAGGATGAGGTATTCTTGCAGAACCGTCGCGTCACGCGCAGCCTCCCACCACACTCACCCTCGAATTCTATCGGGTGCTCATGTGGAGGGAGTGGGCCGTGCAGCTGTCGCTCAGCGGTAAAGATGCCCTCCATCTCGTCCATGGCCGCCGACACGGCGCCGCTCTCCTCCACCACAGGCGACGCCACGGGCTCCTCACCCTCCACGCCGTTGTCATAGAGCTCCTGCACCAGAAGATAGCACGACGCCCGCTCCACACCATACTGCAGCACGTGTAGATCGTCGTCGTAGTCCACACGTCGCTCCTTCCGCTCCCATGTGACAAGCGCCCAGTCTTCACCAAGCTCTTCAACCCGTGTAATCATGCCAGGCAGTGTGACGCACGTTTTGGGCGCGCACCAAAGGCCCCAGTCACCCTCAGCATCCCACTCGCGGACGGCAAAGGTATACTTGGTGTCTGTAAGAAGTTTATCGATGCGGAAAACACTGCACGAATGCATCGTCCGGAGCTCCTCCACCAATTCTCCCGTCTCATCATCTTCGTGTACAATGCGGACCTGATAGACACGTCCCTCAATCGACGCCGCGTCACTCGTTAGCGTGGTGCCTTCGTCCATGGGTGGCAGTCGTTTGTTGGGTGCACGGTACCACTCAATATCAACAAATGCCTCTGAGATGTACGTGATGGAGAGCTGAATTAGGTTCTGAGTCATAAACTTAAGCGGCTTCGTCCACAGACCCCAACCAAAGCCGTAGTCGGCGCACATCAAGGCAATGTACATTGTATTCGACACTAACCCTGTCACTGTAAAGGCGCAAAGGGCATCGGCATCGACACCGATTGTGGAAGTGTTCCCCTCTTCTTCGTCTCCACAGTTGGCATTGGGGGTGATACTGGTGGAGGCATTGTTATTACTCTCGGTGTTGGCATTGTTGTGGTTTTTGATGTAATAATCCGTAAACGAACCGTTTTCATGAATGACGCGAAGCTGGTAGCCTTTGATGGGCAGATTTTCATGCACCACCACCTCACCGTGGCCGCTCGCCAATCTCTCCTGTGTCTCTGAGACCGATCGCTTTAAATCACGCCAGCTCTTGAGCCGCTCGACCAGTACATTGTACTCGTCCTCGGATAGTTCCTTCTTCTTGTCCTCAAGGTCTTTGGGCAGCATACTGTTGAACTCCTCATTTAGTTCCTGCAGACGCTTCTGGTCGGCATCGATGCTCTGGGAGAGGGCATCAGGGTGACGGTGCCAGTAGAGGTTGATGTAGTGCTCACCAAAACGATTCTGGTTGAGCTCAATCGGCTTAAGCGTCGTGAAATCCTCTCGAAGACTCCACGGACACCATTCACCCAAAGCGTTGCGTGCACGCACCTGCACCCAGAACGAGGTAGACGAGATCAATTCCTCCACAACGACAGTCTTTGTGTTCGCGCGGAGCTGCACGTCGATCAGCGCCATCTCCTGTGAGGCTCCTTCTTCGCCCCCCTCCGCTGTAGCTGTCGCTGCCGCTGCCGCTGCTGCTGCTACCCTTGTGGATGTCTCACCTGAGAATCCGCCATTGCCCTCTTGCTGTTGCTGTTGCCTCTGGCGCCGCTGCTTGCTGGTAGACTTCTTTGACCCATCCTGTTTTCGTCTGCGTGTCTGCGGTTTCTGCGGCAACAACATTCGACTAAGTCCTCGTATCGACGGCAAGCATCCCTCACCGCAGAACTTCAACTGGTAGCCTGACACCTCAGCGTTGCCAAGGATGATGTTTTCAATCTTGAGATGATGCAGCGCATCCATGCGGAGAGCCGCATTGTGCTCACGCCGCACAGCGAGGTGGTCGCACAGGTTATCCCGCTCCTGCGACTCCTCCATCTCCTGCACGCGCCGCTTCAGCTCGAAGAGATCCTGCCGCTCACGCTCGTCGCAGAGTTGCTCCTCTTCGCTACGGCGGCTGGAGAGAAATGCCTCGTAGTCCATCACGTCCTGTGCGGCCCGGAACCAGCGCACCTCCGCCATGTTCTCCGTGTAGTACCATACTTCCACGCACATGGGCGCAAGCGTCAGAAACGACTCGCGACGCGAGAGCATCGACCAGTGCTGCTTTGCGCTCTTGGAGCGGACGCAGACGGAGTAGATCTGGTTGTGCACGAGGCCAGTGACGCGCACTGACATTTGGTCGCTGGGCACAGTAAGGCAGCGCATAAGATCGCATGTCACACCTTCCATGTACACTTCGTAGCAATCGACAGAGTAGTCTCCGAGCAGCACGGCAGCCAAGTCATCACCGCTCATCTCTGAGGTGGATCTCTCCGAAGAAGATGCCGCCGCCGCCGGTGCATCCTCAACAGCACCATCCTCCCCATTAACTGCATCAGCAGCTACGACAGGAGCATTTGAAGAAACACTCTCACCAGGTCCCCGCCCCTCTAGAAGCAAGGCCGCTGGGGGAGGTGACTCCATCTGGTTGTCATTAGTGGCAGCAGTATCGGGGCGTGTGAGCGCCCAATCCGGCAGCGGGCGGCTCCAGCTCGCCACAAGTGTGTCCTCGTACACAGCGCGCACCTGAACCTGGAGCCGGCTCTGCGAGACGAACTTCGTGAGGGGACTCCACGGGCCCCAGTAACCCTCCATCTGCGCACGCACGCTCACGGCGTAAATGGTATTGCTCACAAGGTTGTCCAGGTGGAACAACGTGACTTGTGGCTCCAGCTGCACAATGGTGTCGAGTGCCAACGGCCCACGGTAGTGCTTATTTGCCTTGCTGTCAAGCCGCACCGCATGCAACTCATATGCTGTCACCTTACCAGCACCTGTCACGACACTGATGTCTGGGGCGGTGCCCGGTGGCCGCTGCATGCGGTGCCATCCAACGAGGCAGTAGTTCTCACCAATTTCAATAGGAACGACGCTCATCGGCTGCACCATCTCCACAACTTGCATCGCGGAGAAGTAACCCCATGAGTCAGGAACGAAATTACCCTTGGCGTCAATCAGCTGCTCTCGCACCATGACGTGATAACGCACACCGGGCATGAGGTTGCACAGCCGCAGTGCCGGCTGCGAAGTTTCATACAGGCGTGCACCATTCACCAATGGCTCGTCCTGCTCGTCAAACGGCTCCTCCGTAGCGAGAGGTTCAATGCGCACCTGGTAGTTATGGATTTCCGTCGGGTGTGGGAAACATATGAATCCTTCCGAGAGCTCCATCGATGCTGAGGGGCGGCTCCACGAGACTTGGATAAATGTCTCTGTGACATTGTCGGCAGTGAGCGCAAGCACCGGGTACGTTACCAAACGGCGCGGCTGGCTCCAGTGTCCCCACATACCGCGCTTGTCCTGTGCCCGCACTGAAACGGCGTAGGCGGCATGCGGCAGAAGTGAGTCAATCACGCGGTCCAGCTCGTCAGCGCCGACATAGAATTCCGCAAAGTCCTCCACATCCGGCTGACCACCGAACACCCGCTGTCCCTGCACGCGGAGATGCCATTGTTGAACTCCATCATCGCCTCGAAGCAGCGTTCTGTCGTCTTCGTTGTCATACGCATCAGACCCATCCTCTTCCTTGTCATCGAAGTAGTAATTGTCGTTGATGAATATCTCATCGCTCGAGGAGTGTGACCGATGGGACCGTTCTACACCGCGGTGTTCCTTGCTGTCCTTGTCTCCATTGATATCCTTGCTCAGCTCCACTTCTTCTTCCTCCTCATCGTACTGGCCGTAAAAGCCATTGCCGCTGCCCCTCCCGCTGTTGACACTTTGGGTGCCGTCGGTGGAGGAGCGCTGGTGCCGGCGTCGTGCGAGATCGCGGCAGCGACCCCACTCCACCTCTGCGAACGCCTCGCCAATGCGCAGAATGCGCAGATCCACCGCCTCCAATGTGACGAATCGCTTCGCATCGCTCCAGAGACCCCACTCATCGTATGTGTCCTTCGCCGACACCTCGACAGAGTACACTGTCGACAGCTCAAGGGATGATAGCGTGCAAGAGGTCTCGCGGAAGCTGATGGACTGTGACGTCACCTCATCCCCATTCTCGTCAAGCACGCGTACCTTGTAGCCACTCACAGCGCCATCCACCTCCCGCACAGACGATTCACTGTCAGCCGCCGTCTCGCCCATCCACTTACCTCGCATCCATGAAACTGTCACGTAGTCCTCCCCAATGGCCACGACATCTAACTCCAGTTTTGGCAGCGTGCGCACGCGCGCCTCGTCGTTCCAGAAACCCCAAACGCCTTCATAGCCCTTGGCACAGAGCCACACGCGGTACTCCGCCGACGGCTGCAGATCCTTGAGACGAAAGTTGCTGATATACGGACTGAGGTCATACATGTATGGCACCTTGTTACCGACACGCTCCACCTTCAAACGAAACTGTTGCACAACATCCTCGGACTCCACAATTGTATCCACGTCCCGCTCGTCAAGCGAAGTGGGGAGGTGGCGGCGCCACTCGACAATGGCAAAGTGCTCACCCACATTTCCGAACGTAACGCGAAGTCGTGGTTTTGTGCGGAAAGACTGTGAGGACCACAGTCCCCACTGCTGATTCTCCGTCGACTGGGCGCGTACCTGAAATCTGTACACTGTGTCAGGCTGTAGACCTCGAAAAAAGAGTGTGTTGGTCTCCATCTCCTTGGTGAGGTTAAAGTGGCCGTCCCCAAGAATACGCACCTCATACATTGTGGCGACAACATCCACGTTGAGGGCAGTGTCGAAATTAACGGGAGACTCCACATCAGACTTGCGCGCCCACGCGACCCACACAGAATCCTCTGATATATGCTGCACCGCAATGTCCATGCCAGGTATAGTCCGCACCTTGCCCTCATCACTCCAAACACCCCATTCATAGTTGTCATTGTACGTCTGCACTGCAACAGCGTATGTGGTGGCTGGGGAGAGAGATTCCACACGCAGTGTGGTGAGCGAGTTGTTCAGCTCATATGTCTCCTGGAACGAACCGCCAATCTCGCGCACCTTCAGACGTGACGCGCTGATTGTGCCAAGCCCACACTTCACAGATGCGGGATCTTTAATCTGTGGTGGAATAGTTTGTGGGCTGCGCTTCCACTCAACCGTAACGAACTTCTCCCCAATATCAGTGAACTCCACCCGTGTTGCTGGCACGGTTGCAAAGAAAAGTGAAGGAATTGACCACATGCCCCACTCGCCATTTACAAGTTTTGAGCGCACAGATGCGGCGTATACGGTGTTAGATCGAAGGTTCGGTATCGTATGATCCGTATTGTCAGTGGTGCAGAGAATCTCTGTCTGGTAAATGAGTCGGTGATCAGCAGCGTTGGGCGGCAGCGACGTATTCTGTTGGCGTGGTTTCGTGTAGCCGGTGGAAGTGTGCGGTGTCGGGTTGAGTATGGGTGACGTGACGCACAGCATGAGGTTAGGGCGAAATTGACCAAACGCAATAACACGATCATCACTCGCGCGATTGCCGTCATCCTCTGGAAGCCGTTTCTGCTGGTATGGGCGCTGAATAACGATACAGGAAAATTCTTCAGATATAAGTTTTGTCTGTATCTCTAAGCTCTTCATCGTCAGACACCACAGCGGGGTGCTCCAGAGGCCCCACTCCTCATCGTTGTAGTTGGCCTTGATCTCAACACAGTAGTACGTATCTGGTGTCATGTTTGAGATGCGGTACGGTGAGTCCCCGTCACCGAGGAATACCTCGGAGTGGATACCAGAGTTGTTGTACACACGTAGGTGGTACGAGGTCACGACACCGCGGCCGGTAGGGTAATTCTTGGGATTCGCCACCTTACGCCGCTCCCATGCAATGATGGCGTAATCCTCCGCCACCTCCACCGCTTTGGTAAGGATTGTGTCGCGTGTGAGGATGTGCACTGGTGGGCTCCAGAGGCCCCAGTTTCCACTTTTGCCGCAGACACGGATCTGTATCGTGTACGCAGTGGCAGGGGAAAGCCCATAAATCTTCAGCTCGCGCATGTCCGCAGGAAGAGTATGGTCCTTTGAGAATGGTGTGTCGACACCGTTGATACGTAGTTGTTGCCCGGTTACTCCGAGATCGCCGACAAATACATCCTTGTCTGTCATTGGGTGTGCATCACGGCTCCAGACGAGGTTGACGTAATTCTCGCCAATAGTAAGGTTGTTCACAGGAATCCGGAACTGTGGGTTAGAGCGAAAGCGCAGAGGGCGGCTCCACAAGCCCCACTTCCCTGTCGCCGTCGACGCGCGCACGACTGCAATATACTCGCGATCCGGCAGAAGCTCATCAATGCGAAGCGATGAGTGTTCGCTGGTGACCACCTCGTAGCGGGCAACCTCGGAGTTCCCGCCCATATGGTAGCCACTTAAGCAACTTGGCGTCGGCTCCCCGTCCTCGCAACTGCACACAAAAACGGCGTAACGAGAGACAAACATGTCAGCAGTGGTCACAACGGTGGCACCACTGCCGCTGCCGCCACCAGCACCATTGATGTGGCCACTGCCACTACTGCTGCTTCCGCCGCCTTCTACCACATCATCATCAATGTTTTGTCGCTGCCACATGAGCCGCACGTAGTCCTCGCCAATCTCATGTACGGAAGTCACAACAGAGGCGAGGGTGCGCAATTTTACTTTGCTCCACAAGCCCCACTGCTCAAGTTCATTGCAGGCGCGTACAGAAACAATATATGTTGTGGCAGGTTGAAGGTTTGTAATGGTGTAATTTGTCTGTAAAACCTGTCGATGTACAATCTCATCCTCGCCTGTGTCAAGGCAACCCACAACCACCTCATACTTTAGATCGGGCCATTGCTGCTTCCGCTGAGCGTCCGGCGATGTTGCTCTGTCTGAAAGTCCACGGCGCCACATAAGCTGGGCAAAATCCTCACCAACGTCCCACACATGTAGCGCGAGATGCTGCAGTGTCTGTGTTCGCACTGGGGACGTGAACTCACCCCATCCCTCGTACCCTGTTACGCGGTTGTGTTGCCAACAGCGGCACTTAACTTCATACAGTGTGTCAGCTTGCAAGCTACCCACGCGGAGTCCCGGTTCGTCAGGCCCACGCACGACTTCATCATCGAGCACCGTCACGCACTCATCACCCTTGCCAATTTGCATAACAACAACGTTGAACCGCGCTGTGGTGTGTCCGCCGTCACGGTCTTCCAGCGCAAGGGTGAAGAAGTCTTCACCGCGCTCGAGGAAGGTCAGTGTCGCCTTCGCTTGCGTGCGGAAGCGGCGTGGCTCCGTCCAGAGACCCCACTCGCCCTGCAGAAACGTGCGCACCGCCATGGTGTACTCCGTCCCAGCGGTGAGCGCTTGCAGGTGAATGACTTTGTCCTCCTCATTTGGTCCAATCTCAATGATCTCCTGCTGATTGTACACAGACGTGAAGCTCTTTAGGCAAAACTCCACCTTGGACTCCCCCGGCTCATCACGCGGCCGCATCCATGTGAAGGAAAGAAAGGTTTCACCTGCGGCGACAACGGAGAGTTCCGGGCGGTCTGCGGTGCGCACCCTGAACGCGTCGGAGCGGTTCCCCCAGCGGCCCTCAGTGGTCAAACTACGTACATAGAAGGAATACAGCGTACCTGGTGAAAGGCCATCGACGCGGTACTCGTGCTGATGCGCTGGCAGCTCGACGGGGTTTAATGCGACGTCCCCGCCCTCCACCGACACTTCATAAAGGTGCACGGTTGTTTCAGGGACCGTATACCCAACGGCGTCAACGGGACTTGGCCCAAGGTGCCAACCCACCGTGATCGCCTCCTCGCCGCGGGTAACAAGTGAGATCACATTCGATGGTCTCGTGTAGAAGCGCCCAACTTCCGTCCACTTCTTCATTGTGTTGATTAAGGTCTTGTAGCGGATCATGACAATGTATGCAGTCCCCGGGCGGAGGCCATGGACGGTGTACGCCCGCACGCCCACTGCGAAGCGGTCACAGAACTCCTCCACCATATCGGTTTCGCGAAGCAGTCGCAGCTCCAGTTGAGAAATGTCCGCGATCTCCTGTGTCGCTTCTGCATTCGTCTCACTCACAGTGTTCATGCTGTCGCGCAGCGGCCGGCTCCACTGTACCCGCACGTAGTCCTCTCCAATTTCCTTGATCTGCCCCTTCACGGCCTGCAGCGAGGCAACACGTGCGTTGCCCGACCACGGGCTCCAAGACGAGACGGCCTCCAAGTACACGCGAACCCGCACGAGGTAGAACCTGCCAGCCTGTAGCTTCACCACTTTGCGGCTCTTGTCGAGGGGCATCTCCTCTTCGAAGAGCGGCGTCGCTGCGCCGTCAACCTCCTCCGCGTCGAGGTGAAGGGCCCACTTCGTGACGCCGGTGACATCGTTTGCGAGATGGCTTTGATCGAACTCAAACCCAAATTCACCAAACATCTCGCCCATGCGGCACACAACAGCGTGGCAGATGATCTTTTCGCTGTCCTGCATCATGATTGTAGGGCAAAAAGTTTTATTTTTCTTCTTCTGTTGGGCACGGTCTTCGCCTCCGTGCTTTGGCCTCTAAGAGTTCTCTTCACTAAATTCTTCTCGCTTCAAGTACCAACCCCGTCTGTGTCTGTCCGTGTGTGTGTGTGTGCCGGCGTCTGGAAGGAGCGGGCAGCACACGCTGTTTCCTCACTTCGAAGAACACACAGAGCACAAACACACAGAAAGAGCAAGCGCCTTCTCAGTTTGCTGTGCAGACACACATGAAGAAAGGAGAAAAGAGCCAGGAAAGTCGTCGCGTCACTATCACACTTTGGAGGGGCATGCCGCAGGGTCCAAACGGCCCCATGCCCATCGTAACGTGTCGCACAAATGAGGAAAGTCCCTCAAACAAACGGCAGAACTGAGGTTGTGGTTGTTTTTTTCTTTTTTTTTTTTTGTCCTTTCATGTTCTCATTTCCATTGCTCTCCTTCTCTTCACAGGGGAGGGGGGCAGACGCCAGAGCGCAGGGCCTGCGGGTATCGCATCCACAGAACAGCAACGGGACTTCTCACCGGTTCAACGCACGCACAACGAGCAAAAAGAAAAAACAAAACCACGTCAAACAAACCAAGAGAGAAGCAGAGTTCGCTCGCTGGCTCTGTTAAAGTCGGTGTCGCTATTCAAAACCCACCTCCACACACATACACACACACAGACTGCATCACCAAAAACAAGAATTGCTCTACGCAAATCCGAATTCATACATATGGCGCAGGCACACCGTCAACTTCTCTCGCAAGACAGAGGCGGAGGCGTAGGGCTGCAGAAGCAACGAAATGGGAGAACAGGTGTGGGCAGTCGGAATGGCGTTGGGATCATCGCCACACGACACCTGCACCTTCTCTGGCAGTGGAATACGTCGTTGTCCACTACAGAAGAGCAAAAATTGCGAACGCTGTTTCTGTGTCCAGCCGTGCACAACCTCGGTGAGCATCTGACGAAGCTCCTCCGAGACGAGGGCGAAGTTCAGCGAGGAAATCACATCCTCCGCCGTAGTGCCGAGAGAGCCACACACCCGCTGCTGCAGGTCATCCCAGCGGATGAGCTGGAGCGAGTTGATGGGAATGACGGAGGTGATGCCAGTGCGCACGGCAAGCAGCAGCTCATCGTACTGGTGTGTCAACGCCCGCTCCGCCTCCTTGCGACGCCGCTCAACTTCCATGCCCTCATCGAACTCCTCGGCGTTCGTGAGGCTGTTGATGTCCGCCGAGCTCCGTTGCGGTGTGAGGGCAGGGAAGATGCGGGTTGAGTGCATCATAGACATCACTTCCGCTGCGTCGTCGTCTTCCTGCGGTCTGATGCCAGGAATGGCGTGGTAGAACTCGTCGTTGAGGAGGAACTCATCATCGTTCAATGCCCCACGCACGGTATCATCAATGTCGGCGTGGTAGTCCTCGATGGTAGGCTCGTCCAAGGTGAGGAACTTCCACATTAGACGCGGGAACGTTAGAGAGAACATTAAGTAGCCACTTATCGTCGCATTGCCGAGGAGCTTACCGAGCCATGTGTAGAAATCCAGGAGCAGCTGCTTGTGCTCGGGGTTGCTGCGGTAGAAATCCATGTTCGGCACTACATTAACCATTGTGCTGTGGCTCGACAGCTTAAAGAATGGCAGCAGCGGTTCCGCACGGCGCCCATCCTCCTCATCGCGGTAGTTCAACTCATCGCACATCATCGTCACCACAGAGCGTGTCACACCCCCGGCATCGTCGGCGACTTCTCCGGCGAGGCAAATGACAAACATGACACTATCAAGATAAATCTCGGAGTCTTTCGTCTGCCGAAAGAGCTGTCCTGCGACGGAACCATCGAACAGCGTCAGGAAATCAAGGCCACCACTGCTTTCCGCCATGGCTTTGGCACGGTTGAGATCAATCAACACCTCGCGGGGTCGCTTCACGTTACTTCGGATGAGACGGCGGTCAATCTGTCGCTCCACAATCGCCCAGCGTGCTGTAAAGAAGAGCAACTGCCGTGCCTTCTGGTAATTGCCCATCAAATATGCTGAGTTTCGGAAAATGTCATGACTCCTCGCCATGCTCACAGCCAGGGCATTGATAGAGCGCAAATGTTGAAAATACGGCCGTAGACGCTCTAAAGAGCCTGCCGCTTCTTCACAGAGCAATGGATACTGGTGAATGGATGCCCGCGCCAAGTCAGCCCACGCAGTAGTCTCCAGCAATGAATCCACTGTGAAGCCACAGTTAACAATGTCATTGCCGAGCTGACACAGCTGCACGTAGAATTCATATGAACGCGGATCTACTACGCTGTCGTGTCGCGCCTCCTTGTATGTGATAGGGCTGAAGTCTTGATATCCCTCGGGTTTGAACTGTGTATTGCCAAGGCGTACTATGACGCCATGTGGATCCATAGAAGCGCTGACAAATGGGTAAATTGCCTCACCCTTACCCTGCGTGGAGACAGCAACCCAGAGGAGGTCCTCACCATTGACACTCCAGCACATCATCATTGTACTCAGGTCAAGCAATGCGCCAACAACATCTCCAGCGACAATAGGCCTCGAGGTTGAAACCATCTGCTCTCCGGTCAGTATGCGCAATCTGTCCTGGCAGTTAAATCCCCAGGAGTGTATGTCACTCCCAACGTGTTGCCCACTACTTAGCACCTCGTGCTGCATAGTACCCCATCCCATGATGATCGTCTTGTTGCGATCATTGAAGTTGGGTGGCAGTACCACCTCGTAGTAGTACCGCCCACCCTTGCTCGAAAACACGCCGACGCTGCCACGTACTTGTCCCACGATAAGTTCGCCACCATCACCCATACGAGTGTCCGGCAACTCCACGAGATACGGGAATGTGTCCGGTGAATCTTCATCAAAGAATGCCGGGAGTCGTTGTTGAAGCCCCATCCGTTCAACAGCCTCAATCAGCCAACTTGTAGCAGTAACATTCGCACTGATCGACACGTCGACGCCGCGAAGAACAGCATGAACCATAAGTCGTTGCTGCCCTGCAATGACAGGCGTAATCGCAACGATATCGCGCAGGCACTCTGCCTTGAGTGGCTGTCCGCAGGCTTCTTCTAGTAAGGCGTTCAGCGAGGCATAGCACACTTCACGCACTTCGCGACTGTCACTATTTCGCGCCACATTCACGCAGAGGGCGTAGAGTAAGTAGTGTCGCTGGCGCTGTAGCGAGGGGTTTCCCTCCATCACCACTAGGGAAATGGAAGAAAGGGACCAAATAACCTGCTCACTGCTCTTGCCTGCAAGAAGAATGCGCAGACAAGAAGAAAATATGCTTCGCGCTGCCTCCTCGGGGACATCCTTGAGCCGCACCAACCAACTGTCATCCAATACACGCAGGCGGCGCAACACATCGCCCCTTGCAAGTTGCTTTGGAGCAAGCTCAGGCCCCCAGCGACACACAATGCGGCTGCAGAACAATAGAATGGCATGTACAAGGGAGCGGTGGTGCGAGGATCTTCGCTGCTGCGGCTCCTCCACAGCTGCAACCTCTGCCGACAACGATTCATCGCTGTCGTTCAGGGAAGCCTGCGCGAGGGGTGGGACATAGCGTGAGAGATCACTCGCACCGGGCGACGCCGCCTCGGCTGCCTCACAGAGGCCTTCAAGGGAGTACGCCCCACTGTGGAGATCCGCGTAGACACACTTCGTACTGCCGAACGTAACCACCCACTTCATGGTGTCGCCAGCGCCTACCAGCGTTCCCTCTGCCACGCCGATGGTTTTCTCGTCCGGCAACCACCGCGTTTCACGTTCGCAGCGCTCACACATGGCACGACATTCAAAAACCTCAAACTTTGTGTATTCCTTCTGTTTTCCGCAACCCTCGCAATACGCCCGTTTCTTACCGGCGTCTTGGTCAACCTCTGCCACGCCCATGCGCTGGTGCCCGCATGTCATGCAGATGGCGATATTGTTAGAGTTGAAGGCGTAGCTGCAAAGCATGCAAGTCCATGTCGCCCCGGGGCGTGCCGTCGTGCACATGGCACAGCGTGTGGAGTCAGGTAAGTTGATGAAGGTGCACACCTCGCAAGCCCACTCCTCGTCGTGTGTATCACCAGTAGTAGGGTTCTCGGCGCATTTATACACGCAGCGGCCCCGCACACGGTTGCTCGCGACTTGTTTTCCAGTGAAGCTGAAGATACCGTGCGGGTCTTCGCCCTCACCCTCCACCCTTCCATCAGCCGCAACACGAAGCGTCACGCAAACCTTCTTCTCGGGTTTTTGCCACTCACAGGCCAAGCCGGTAAAGGGTGATGTCACACCAATGCGGTGCAGCACATTGTGTAGCGTTGCGCAGAGACTGCACGGGGCTGCGTGGTTGCTGGCAGTGCAGCTGCCCCATTCCTCATCGCAGGTTGGGCATCGTAGGCATATATCTGCACCCTCTTCGGCGTCATCGGTGTCACCAATTTCTTCGGTGCCAGAGGCATCGGTGTTGTAGGGAATGGGAATGGGAATCCAAAGCTCATCGTCGTCCTGCAGCTGCGTCACCTCATTCCACGCCTCCAGCACAATGTGCTCCTTGTCATTGGGTATCACGTCCGGCACCGCCAGAATGCTTATGAGTTGTCGTAGCAACATCTGAGGTGCTTCAACTTCGGGCGTGAGAACGCTTGGCAGCTCCATCTCCGCCAGCAGACGGAGGGCGCAAAGAAACATTTTGATCCGTCGAACGTGTACGCTGCTGCACCCTGCTGGGTCCTTGATGAATTCAACTGATACCGAGACTGTATGCATTAGATCGTTCAAAAGCAGACTGACCGACATATCTTTGCTAATCACCACACTATAGTTTGGCTCTAGCGCGGCAGCAGGGATAGTGATGCTCTTTGTGCCTCCCTCCATCACCACCTCTGCCTTAGGACCCAGCTGCCGCACGAGTCGCACAACACGCGAGCCCTTCATCACACTGCGTGGGGGGATGCGGTAACAGAAAGACATCTCGTCGCCGTCTGCACCGAGCACTTCAAGTGCCACCACGTCACCCACCTCAATCATCTCCTGGAGCCGCGGCATCAACTCAGCACCCCAATGGCAAAGCATCTCACGCATGGCGACCCGTGCACGAATGCCAATCTCACGCGGTGTATGCATCCACACAGCAGAGGCGTCCTTGTTGAAGAGCTCCACGAAGGGAAAAAGCACCTTTACCATGGATGGGATGTTCGTGTAAAGTGTGCCAAGTGGCATTCCGTTCCGCGCAAAGGAAACACAGCGCAGCCTGGTCTGCACCGTCACAGTAATGACATCAGCCGAGCCGTAGATAATATTCTCCTCGCTAGACATCCAATTCTTTGCGTGCCGCGAAAGCTCCGTCCGTATGGAGGGAGATGAGACGTCGGTGAAGTTATCTGTGATGGCGTACACGTACGCCATTTCGTGACGCTCGCCGGGGTGTCGCTGCAGCGTTGTCTCCATGGACATGGGGTACGGGCAGGCCACACCAATGTAGTAGAAGCGGCCAAGCGTGTCAAACTCGGCGCCACGCTGCAGGCGTACGGAAAACGATACCTCTCCTAGCGAGCCATCTAACGGGATGCCCTGTGCAGCAAAGGAAGTGGTGTTCTGCGCCGACCGCGAGACCCCGCAAGAATTCAGCAAAGATTTGATGCGTCGGCCGCCGGAATAGACACCAAGCTCCTGTGCGCTACTCTCCTCTGTGAACCGCGGTTTGTACCCTATTGCCGACACCTGTCGTGCAAGCAGACGGCAGCACTCCCACAGCTGCAATGGGTTGTAAGCTGCCACGCCAAAGAAACGATATGGCTCACGCAGCGCTGAGCAGACAGCCGTCAGAGCCAAGCACCGCTCCCGCTCACCCACCTCTTCGCAACACACCACCTTGGCCAGCGTCGACAACATCTCCACCGGCGAGGAAGAGCAGCGAATGGCAGTACGTATAATGATAATATGGTCCATGAGGAAGCGATGATAGACGAAGGAGGCTGCGTTGCGCTTCACACGCTCGGTCGCATCGTTGAATTCAGATAACGGGGGGAGGCGCTTGATGGAGTCGATTAAACTCTCCACATTCGCCCGTAACGGACCGCAGCAGCCGTCCACAAACGCCGTCCATGCTTCTTCTGCATGTGCAGAACTCCTTGAGAGGTTGCCGCGGCCGCCAGCGAATGTTGGTGAAATAGACTGTGGTGTGCTACCAGCGGCCACCATTCGTCTCACATGGGCAAGGCGTCGCGCGCAGAATGATATCATGTAAAACAAAACAAGCGTTGCAAACATTGCAATGGAGTGGCGCGTTGGAAGTGCACCAACGGCCCCCTCTCCTCCACTTGTCATCGCAACAAGAGATGCCGGTGCAGCGCAAGTAGAATTAGTTGTCTCCTTCCGAGAACGAAATGACACGCGGAAGGTGTTGTTGCGGAGTGAAGAAAAGTCCATGACACCAGCAACAAGAAACAGACGTTGCTGTGGGGACGGAAATTCTGCCATCCGGACACCATTCACAAGCAGAGACAACGTACGCGTCGATGTCTTCGGGGAGAAGGAGAAGCAGAAGGTGAAAATGTCGCCCTGCACAAGCGGTGGCAGTGCAATCTGGCGCCGGCCGTGATGCAGTTTTCCATCGTGTGGCATGAAATAGAAGCCTTGCAAGTCATCCTGGATGCTGCTGCTCGTCACACTCGATTGCTGCTCCGAGGCGAGTGCGATAACGAGTTCACGTGGTGGCATCATCATCAGCTGCACGTCCGCTGCGCAAAACGATGCCCCCACCGCGGACAACGATGAAGGCAAGGCAGAGAAGGATGAGGCGGAGGTGGACATGGGAGCCTGTGCCCCCGGGCAGTACAGCGGAGTGGAGGTGCAGCACACACGTTCACGCCCGGACGGCACCCACATGCCGATGCCACGCTCACTGGCGCCACCCAGCGTGAGGCCGACAGGCGGCTGATCGGCAGCGCCCGCGTCGGCGTCATCAGCATTTCTGTTGTCGTCGCCGCCACCGCCGTCGTCGTTGTCAACAAGCGCCCGCGTGGACTCCAGCATACTTCCCTCCTCTACCTCATTCACCTTGAACGATGCGGTGCGGGTAAGCTCCGTAAAGTTGGGCAGCAGCCCCTCCACCTGCCTGACGATCTTGCACCAAATGAAGTCCATGTCGCGCGCATCCAGCGGGGTGGCAAGTAGCGAGAGACTGACAAGGGCAAATGGGCCAAACTCGTCGGCGTCCCACAGAAAACGATGTGGTCCATGACTGCGTCGCTCACCTTCTGGTAGTAGCATCAATCGCTGTAACGCCGTGAACACCGACGTTAGAAGCCGGTGCAATAACTCTCGAATCTCCTCCTCCAGCTCATCACCACAGCCCTGAAAACGCAGAAGGTAGTGCCCACCTTCATACATCATCACATCCCTCAAAAGACACACCACACGAAACATATCCCCCGGTACAAAATTTTCTTTAGCCCTTAGCAAAAGGGAGAGCGCAACAACACATAGCTTGGCACGTGCACGTTGTACCGCCAGCATACTCCGCATCTCAGCGACGGTGATGTCGGACGTCAATAGACCAATAGTGCCCTCTACAATCTGTGGCACCGTCAAACGACATGGTGCAACGTGGTCGAGAACAAAGTTAGCCATTTCTGTAGCACCTGGGTTTTTTCCAAGCAGACTGCTCACTAGGCTAACACGTTTAATGGCATCCTGCCAAGCACGGGACTGCCACGAAAGCTGATTAGGCTCATAGCTCTCAAGAAATCTACTGATGAGACTCAACGCCGCACGTACACCTCTAACATCACTCTGGCGGCAAGGCACACGCTGGCGCAGCTTTCCCTCTTCTAGATTCAGGAGGTCCATCACAAACGGTGGCAGTGGCTCCACCCGGGGTTCAGAAAGTAACCCGTTGCGAAACAGCTTCAGTGAATCATCTCGCAAGCGGAAATCGCCACTGACAAACCCATTTTTTACCCTCTGAATAAGATTGGAAGTGACTTCTAGTTGTGCAGCACTCAGGGTGTTGCGCAGCTCCACCACCCAGCGCCCATCTACCTCCAGACTTGTCTCCACGCGCACTTCGGCCTCAAAAACCGGAGTTGTGGAAGTGTTAGAGACCCCCATGTATCGTACCACACCGTCACAGCCAGCAGTTAGCTCGTGTGTCTCACCTTCATGTGGTTCAAAACAAACAGGCTCGATCAATTGCTCATTAATACCGCTGCCGTTGTCATCATTGCTAACCGGTGTCCGTGGCACTAAGGCAATCCGAACTCCTTCGCAGCACAATGCTCTTTGGACGTGTACGCTTACTTTTCGTGCGAGCGGCGCGACCAAAAACACCTCTGTCACCACCGACGCAATGGAGGTGGCATCATAATCCAACGCAGGCAACCGCATCAGCAGCGCCGCTCTATTCGTAGGAACCCCAGTAGCCATCGGTAATACCGAGGGTGACGATACAGCAGAAAGCGGTGCACTTTTTATTTCATCATCCAATGAGAGAGTATACTTCGTGACAAATGTGGCAATTGACAAGGACTCTTTGGTGAGGCCACATCCACGTGATGGAACCTTCACTTTGGCCAGGAGGTGTCCAACTGTAATCATGTCATCGTCAGTGAAGATCGTACAGCGTGTGATGTTTAGAATTGGCACCACAATACCGAAACCAAATATTCCAACTTCTTCATTGCTGTCTAGTATTGCGTTCCACCGCCCCAACACCTCTTGTAAAATAGTAAGAAATGCCCGTGCGCTCCGCTTATGGTGCTGTGCCTGTACGGAGACAGATGCGGCAACTGAAATAAGTTGATTTTGACCCTCTTTTTGTGGTGAAGCAGCCAGATCAATCATCTCTAGGACCTTCTGAGAGAGCCATTTCTCATCCTGCTGGCCAGCAACGTACGAGAGCACCCCACTAACCGATGTAATTTTCCGCTTCTCAGTGGAGGAGCCACTGTCACCTAAAGAAATCTCGTCACTCGCACAGAAACTCTCCGACGGCCTGCGCGGTATCTTTTGATTGACTGGCTCTACTCCCCCGTGTGGCCGCCTATCCCTCGTCACTGTATTCTGCGGAGCTGAAGACCAGGCAGTTGGCGACTGTTCGTCTGCGGGCTGTCCTTGTGGGATCACAGCGACATTGTCCCGAACGGATTGCAAAGCCTTCTGGAAGAGTGCCGAGCGAAGTGTCTGGCACGTCAGCTGGCCCCACCAGCAATGTGACTGAAATACACGGATCGTCTCTGCGACGGTGGTGTTGATGGCACGTGCAAGTTGTGCGTCATCGGCGTCTGTCTGCGAGACACGAGGCACTCTTGGGGGCCTGTCCTGCGTGGCTGCACCGTTGCCGTGCAGCAGCGGCCACGCCAGTTGACAGAGGCGGTCAAGTGGCACACTCATCACACCGCCAATGGGGCAGTCAACGAGCTTCTCCGCGGTAAATCGGAGACGGCGACGACTCTCCGCATCCTGTTGCTCAGCGTTCATGTGCTGCAATTGGGTTTATATAT